GTTGTGCTTCCCTCACGGCAGGTACAGAGTCATCAGATGCGCCTGCTGGGGTGTGTGGGCCTGGGTCAGGAGCAGGGGCTGGGTCAGCAGAAGCTGATGAGGGCTCGTGACAGCAGCTGGGTCCACGACAGTAGCAGGGTGCAGGACAGTAGCAGGGAGTACCTGAGGGAGAAAAGAGGGGTGTGTGGGTCCGCACTCAGGCACATGGGCCGCGTCGGGAGCAGGGGCTGCATCAGGAGGAGCGGCAGGGGGTACTGCTGGGCCGGGGGGCGGCGTCTGAGGCAGGACGGGTGTGCTCGGGTTGGTAGGACGTGGTGCTTGGGGCAGGAAGAGGAGCTGGTGTCTGCTTAGAGAAGCAGTGCTGCTCTAGGGTGTCTAACCTGCGGTTTAGATGTACTGCGCACCTCATTGTCATTCCTAAGAACCCATTTTAATTCATATTACGTTACATAATATTCAAATCCACCGCGCTTGTAGAATCTCAGGAGAGACGTGTATTTCCCAGCTGTTTTACCCTCAGGATCACTCTCAGTAAGCCCCGCCTTCGAACACAGTTGTCACTACGTTTATTGCACTCTCTACTGGCAAACGCAACCTTGAATTAGTCTGTTTAAATCAACTTTAGTAATTCGCCAGACCTTTGTCAACTGAGGGTCAGCTTTGACTGAGTAACAGTTAGTTTGTTTGTGATTATTGTCATTGCGTGAGTAGCGATCACTGGCAACTCAGGGGTATATAAACTCAAGATGGCCAGGGAGCGTGTCCCCTGACGCTGCCCCGTTTGTCTCCAGGTATGTTCTGTGTTCCCTAGCCCTTCAGTTAATTCAGTCAATTGTAGTGATTATCAGTGTTCACCAGTGTTCATGATTTAACAGTTGAATTGCCATTCACCCAGTGTAGAAGTAATATAACGTAAATACGTCTGTCGTCTAGACAAGAGAGTTTGTTGGTGTCATGTTTCTCAGTCCCCTGACGCTGCCCCGTTTGTCTCCAGGTCGAGGGTGGGCTTAATTGAAACCCACCGGTCGCTCGGAGCCGGTGGATACCCAGCAGTGGTCAATATAGGAGTGATGGCGCTGATTCGGCATGATTAATCGGCTCTACTCTACCTCATGGGCCGAGGACCCCAAACCCACCTCGGGTCGGAGTGTAACCGACCACAACAGCAGTTGTTAGAGGCGCCAGTGCTATACCCTGGGACAGGCCTTGGAATTATGGTCCACAGTGTGGTTGTATGTGTTTTTACCAGTATGTTTTATAAGAAATAAATCAATTAAGACATGTTATGGTTTCACCCTTCTTTACCCTTATCGATCTGGTCAATGGAAAACCTAACGCAATGCCTAGTCCACTCTGCCCGCTACCTAACGAGCTACATGCTGTCCAGAGGGGGTCTGGTGGCAGCGACCCTTAGAAATTAAGATTAGAGTTAAGTTATCCCCTTAGACTTAGTGTAGCTGTAGAGCCGATGAGAGCTGCTTCTGGGTGGATAAGCCAGTCTTCCATGTTGCTTGAAGACTGGGAGCGTGATCTGTTTCTCTTCCATCCTGTGTGAGTGCGAATCTCCGGGGGTTCACACTCAGGATGGGATGAGGAAAGGAAACTCACAATGTGCTCACTGTATACATATTGTATTGGATGTACAATGCAGCTGGTGCTGGGAAGTGGCAGCGTGGTTACAAGTGTGATGTAGCGAGAGCTGGTTGGTGAGGGTGCTCAGAGGAGGACCAGCTTGTGGGTCGTCATGCTCGCCGGCGGGAGCGAGGACCGCCAGGCAGGAGTGGAGGTGGTGTTGCTGGCTGGTTGGTGTAGGTAGAAAGAGGAGGGAGGTCACCACGAGGTCAGGTCTTAAATAGCGGGGGTAGGCGTGGCTTAGTAGTTGACCTCCGTGATGTATGGCGGCGTTTGTAGGGGAGAAATCCACTACAGTCTGTACTCATCCCCGAAGCTGTGAATTACACGAAAGCGCTTGGGAACTTCGTGTTTTCTTCTTTCCTTGTGGTTATCAGCATATACCTAGATCACGCGCACCTACAGTGATTTACTTGCATATATATATATATATATATATATATATATATATATATATATATATATATATATATATATATATATATATATATATATATATATATTATATATATATATATATATATATATATATATATATATATATATATATATATATATATATATATATATATATATATATATATATATATAATATATATATATAATATATATAATATATATATATATATATATATATATATATATATATATATATATATATATATATATATATATATATATATATATATATATATATATATATATATATATATATATATATATATATATATATATATATATATATATATATATATATATATATATATAAAGGTGAAATTTTGCTCAAAGCTGCACTCTTCAGGCATTGTTCCTTATACATATCTAAGACTCCATGCCAAATTTGAAGCTGATATGTCGAGGTTTAGTCTGCCGCATTTTCTACTGAAATTTTTAAATGTACCTACAGTACTAGCCAAACAGCCGCTGGTAGCTGGAGATATTCCTTATGTTGAGGATAATTCAGATGATTCAAGAGATATTCCTCTCGTCAATACTGATGCTGATTTTGTCCCTGATCCAAGGGCTCTGACAGACACCAGTTCACAGAACCGGACAAGACTCCCTACACTGGCTGCCGCTTGTGACCGATACTTGATTAGTGATTATGCTGGAGCTGCCATTGCTACTGCCACCTTAACTGACTATGGCATTATCACAAAGGATGACAAGAGTCAGGTTATTGGACCACATAAGCTGCGGGATGCGAGACAAAAATACCGATTTAAGAGGCAAGAAATTGAGATGGCTAGTTTAGATAATTTGACGTCACTCTATTTTGATGGTAAGAAGACCGCCACTCGTGTGATGATAAAGAATGAGAAGACCGAGAAATGGAGTTCGAGGATGATGGTGAAAGATCATTATGTCATCATGGTTGAGCCTGGCAATGAATATCTCACACATGTGACTCCCAAGACTGGACACGGAAAGCAGATTGCCAAAACTATTCACGAGTTTCTGGTGGAGAAAAATCTAACCCAGCAGCCCATTGTGTGTGTTGGTTGTGATGGAACCAATAAATGTAGGATCAGAAAATGGAGTCATTCATCATCTTGAAATGTTACTTGGTCACCCGCTCCATTATTTCATATGTCAGCTTCACGGAAATGAGCTGCCTTTCCGCGCAGTTTTTTATCACTATGATGGTAAACCAAGTGGTCCTGAGCATTGGCGTGGTCCCATTGGAAAGCAGATCAAGGAGTCTTTGTCTGAGCTTCCAGTTGTCGCCTTCCAGCCAGTCAGTTTCCCTGATTTCCCTGTGTTTAATGATGAAGTGGAGAAAGATCTGTCCTGGGATCAGAAATACCTGTATAGGATTTGTAAAGGAGTTATCACAGGTGTTGTTGAAGATGACTTGGCTGCTATTGAGCCAGGTCCTCCCTGTGTGTCAAGGTGGAACACCTTATGGAGTAGAATCCTCAGGCTGTATGTAGCAACATCAAGACCCAGCCATGAGTTGAAAAGAATTGTCATTACAATAATAAAGTTCAGTGCTCCAATGTGGTTTTACATCAAGATACACCCTTACGTAACACACGGCTCAAGGAACGTATTCCAGTCCCTGCTATATATGAAACACCTGAATAGTGAGGAGGAGACGATAGTGAAGAAGGCTGTCCAGAGAAATGCATACTTCGCCCACACAGATGAACTTCTTCTTGGTATGTGTGCAGATGAGGACATGACTGTTAGAGAAAAAGCTGTCTCAATGATAAGAAAAATTAGAGAGGAGAATCAGCAAAAGGAAGAATGCACTGGCAGATCTGAAGAGGAGGAGGAAGATTCTGATGCTGCTGTTGACGAGAATTTGTTAAACTATACTGATGAGGAGGGTAAAGATGGAGATGGGAATGAGGATGTGCCTCCTGTAGTCAACATGAGAAAGGTGGTGACTCCGAAACTAAAGTGGCAAGCAAAAAACTATCATTCCATGATTAACTGGAGGAATGAACTCAAGACTGAGCCTCCTTACATTGCTTCTCTGTCAAATCTACAGGTTAATGACATTCTTGAGACACCATTAGTGGTGCCCAAGTGGCCAAACAGCACTCAGGCGGTCGAGAGAGGCATAAAAGTGATGACTGAAGCTTGTACTGAAGTGACGGGATACGAATCGAGAGATGGATATATTAGGCAAAGATTATTGTCTAGGAAAATGATGCCAAGGTTCCGCACAAAAAAGAATTTCAATATGAACTTGTAATGATTTTCTATACGGTGTACCTGTAAAATAACATGTGAATTAAATCGATGTCACCCATGTAAAATTTATCATTATCCTGGAAAACATTAAATGACACCTAATTTTTGGTATACACTAAAAGTTGACAAAAAGTCGTTCGCGATGCGGCAGGGTAAGTATGCATGAAATGGCATGAAATTTTGCACAGGTGTTTGTTACAGCCATACAAACGATGCCTGAAAAGTGCAGCCTGCAACTCAAATAAAAGTGTTTTTTCCCTGCCCCCTAATATATATATAATATATATATATAATATATATATATATATATATATATATAATATATATATATATATATATATATATATATATATATATATATATATATATATATATATATATATATATATTGGAATTAGCTGTTCTATAATCCTAATTCATATGTCCAACAGCCGCAATGTAAACAAACATCCCGAAAATTTAGTTATTGTTAAATTATACCACGAACAGTAAAGTTTATCACTATTTCTTGCCAGATTTAGACAAATAATTCTATTTTAAACTAATCGATAATAAATATGAGTGTAAAGTTTGTCAATGCTTAATAAAATTTTTGTGGTCAAATTCAATGAAAAAATAAATGGTTTCGCTGCTGGGTTCGTGGTATTTCTTACAACCTTAGTTTAGTCTGCAGTAGCCATGTCCATGTCAGCTGTGTTATTCACGTGTAGGAATATATTACACAAAGTGCCCAGGACACGTGGCTCAGGGCTATCAACACCACTCTGGCCATCAGGTAAATGTTCCGGCGCTATAGATACATCTAGTGGTTAGTCAAGAAGTTTCCTGGCGCTGTAAACCCTAGGTAGTGGTCCCGGCTCCCAGAAGTGAAAATTTGGTATTATTTTACTTTCACATAACCATGGAATTTTGTTTGCAACCAATAGCTTAGGCAATTCGAAGACACTTTACTTCTGTGACGTTTCCGTCGAAAACTACTTATATATGATTGGGGGGCGCAGAGCCTGCTGGTTAAGGTAAAATTGCAGTTTCACTACTAATTGGTTTTTGACCAGAAATTTTTTTGGGTATTATTGCGTTTACACACCGTTCATTCCTACCACTAATCTATTATCATATTCGAATAAGACGTCTAATATATAAGATAATTTTCATCTATTACATTACCGGCAGAAATGTATAATAATGGAGAAAGCTTTTCCCCCCAAAATTAAATATCTTCCATTAACCTCTCGCCATTATCGTCTGCCTCTCTCCCAACACTGCGTGTCTCTCGCGTGTCCATAAATAATCACACGCATGCGTTCCCGTACACGTCATGCGGCCAATCAAAAGCGTTTTTGCTTTTGGAACCAATTAAAATGATTTTGGGTTTAATTCGCAGTATATTTGGCCCAATCAAATTCGAGTTTAATTTTGGGTCTCATATTTTGAAATTCAAGTTCAGTTCCGACTATGGAAGTCTGCGATGGGTGTCACTTAAAGTATATGAAGCTGATTGCGAGTTTTTGGGAAAAAAAACATAGAAACTATAGCATTTTTTTGATCGCATGGTGTTCTTCCAACCTCAGTAAAGTGTACTAAGAGCAAGACTGAATGTAAATATCACAAAGACCAACATATGTGGCGTTGTGTAAGAATCCCAGAATACAACGACGAACAAGAACCAGGCCAATAAGAACTACCGTAGGTGATTCCATCATATGTTGAGAGTCAGTTAGGTTAAGTTAGGTTTGGTTTTGGTTTTTCTAGTGTTTTTTTTTATTGTTTAGTCGCTTAGCCACTATTTTTTCGGAAAATGTCAAATGAAAAAAAAATCGCAAAAAAAAACCCGGCTAATTTCCGCCAAAAATGAAGGTCATATTCGGTCTAAACACACAGAAATACACTAGAAAAATATATTTTTTACTTGCTAAAAGTGAACGGTGTGACAATAGGGTGTGTCATAGGAGGGAAAATCAGCTAAAACTAATGGCCCATCACTTTTTTGGTAGATTTTAGTGTATATAAACAGAAAATAATTTCAGTTTCAATATTTTGCAACCTTTTGCTAGGTAAATTTTAGCGTGAAATTTATCGAAAATCTAACGTACAGCTGCATTAGTGCATTACAATTAAATAGTGAACATTGCTTTCTGACTTCATTCTTTAACAACCCAACTAACAATATTTTTTTCTGTTTCAGATTCTGATGCATTTATAAGTTGATAATATTTGCGATGGCTGCTTGTGTCAGGACGAGGAACCAAAAATCCAGCCATCTCAGTCACTATCTTGGGTCTGCTTTGAGATACGGTGTTTTAATCAGGCAAATCGGTGAAAAGAACCAAAGAACTTACACAAACAAAGACATTGCCAGTGATATGACCAAAGCTGTCTTGGCACAGTACAGTACTCCCTCTTTATCGACGGGGGTTACGTTCTGTAAACGGCCGTCGATAAAGAAACCGTCGATACCGTGATGGTTGCGTAATTTTTCTAACTATTATTAGCATATGTTGAATAAATGTACCTTTAAGCATTAATGCGTTTCCTTTACACATAACCTTAAATAATAGTGTATAAATAATAATATAATAAGTGGAAAAAAATACTAGCAAACTTACCATTTAATTTATTGAAGTGAACATCGGTCCTGACAGTAAACAATACAGTATATACAGTATATACAAGTGTGATGATTGAGGCTTATTAAAAGCCTGACCAGTCAGATGAGTATGATTAGTCAAGGTCTGCATCTTCTTGAGGGGTGTGGGCAGGTACTGCGTCTTATTGTTGTGAGGTGCCGGCAGCTTCTACGTCTTGTTGTTGTTGTGAGGTGTCGGCAGGTTCGGCGATGGCAGGCACTCGGCGACTGAAGAAGTTGGTGATGGTGGTCTGTGCTTTCTTGCTTCTCATTTCCCTCTGCAGTTCTATATATGGCAACATAACATTTTCAATAGCTCTCTTTGCTTTAAGGGACCTATCAAGGGAGGGATCAATGTCATAGAGACGAGCAGAGAGGGCCTTACTCATTCTTATCACTTCACCAAGATTATCTAAAGTTAAGTTCTTATTTTCATCATCACTCACTTCATCGTCTGTTTCATCCTGCAGCTCCACTAATTGTTCTAGTTCATCACTTGTAAATGGGTCCCCAACATTTCCCAATAACTCTTCTTGCACCTCTTCCGCTGTTAGGTCAGAGAACCCTTCACCTCCAACTTCATTTGCCATAGTTATTATGTTGCGTAACTGAGGCTCGGCTGTTGGGAACCCTGTGAATGTTGGGACAATTTCAGGCCACAATTTTTTCCAACATGATCGGACACAGTTCTGCGACAGTTCATTGTGGCTTTCAGCGATGAAGTTTATGCACTGTGCAATATCAAATTTCTTCCACATTTCTCTGGGTGTCACATCAGCATCCTTATCAAGGCACTCACGAATCATGCTGAAAGTCTTCTCTGCATATTTAGCCTTAAACACGACAATGACTCCCTGGTCCATTGGCTGGATGATGGAGGTGGTGTTTTTTGGCAGGAAAACCACCTCAATGTTGGGGTGGGCAGTCTTGAGTTCTTCAGAGTGGCCAGGGCAATTATCTAGACATAATACCACTTTGAACTCCATGCCAAGTTCATCCAGATAATTTTTCACCTCTCTAGCAAAGCAGTTTTTCAGCCAATCCACGCACAAATCAGATGTCATCCACGCTTTCTTGTTGTTCCTGTAGAAAACTGGTAGCAAGTTCATGTTTTTATTTTTGAGAGCCCGAGGTCGTGCGGCAGTGTATAACAACATGGGCTTAATCATATGCCCTGCCGCATTCCCACATAGCATCACTGTCACTCGGTCCTTCGCAACTTTAAATCCAGGGGCACTTTTTTCCTCTTTAGAGATGTAGGTTCGGCGTGGCATCTTCTTCCACCATAGGCCTGTCTCATCAGCATTAAAAACTTGTTCCGGCCTATAACCCTTTTGTGCTATGTGGTTAGCAAACTCTGCAGGGTATGCTTCCCCTGCCACAGTGTCTGCTGATGCTGCTTCGCCAGTCACTTTTATATTATGCAGCCCATAACGATGTCTGAATTTCTCAAACCATCCTTTGCTAGCTGCAAATTTTTTCAAATTGTCACCATCACCATCACCCTGATCATCACCATCACCATCACCAACACCATGATCATCACTTTTAGAAAACCTATCATAAAGTTCCTTAGCTTTCTGCCTAATAAATTTCGAGTCAAGTGGTATGCGGCGGCGGTTTAGGTCCTCTATCCAAATGTTCAGTGCTTTTTCCATTTTAATGAGGGCATCATCACGCACATGGCTTGTCACTTTTGATGTCACTGGTGCACTTGAAGCTAAAGCGTGCTTCAGATCCTTTGCACGTCGTTTAATTCCACGCACACTGGATTCGTTGAGCCCAAAGTGGCGGCCAACAGCTGCATAGCTCATACCGCTGTCGAGTTGTTTCAGCACTTCATTCTTCTCATTCAGCGTCAGCACTCGTCTTGCCCTCTTAGGTGTAGATCCAGAGGGAGCAGCAGGTCGTTTGGGAGGCATAGTGATATAAGTTCATGTGATGAACCACCAGCAAAAGTTGAAAATCAAAGACTGTTGCCCACTCAGCTTGGCTGATGTTTGTGTTCAGGGAAGGCGGGCCGCGGGTAGGCGCTAGTCACGCCACTAGTGCCGCCTAGCGGCGAAAGTACAAACAAGGCCCGCGGAGTTCAAATAAAGCCAAAATAAAAATCCCGGCTAAATAATCCGTCGATAGTCGAAACCGCCGATAAAAAATCCGTCGATAAAGAGGGAGTACTGTACACTCTGGCTAACGCTCAGTTCAAGCCTCCAGTCATAACAAGTCAGAAGAAGATTAGTGAGAGACTGCTAGCCAGTTGGGAAAAGGCAAGAGATATCTCTCTTGGGAGAGGAAAACTTGCAGTTAAGGACAGCTTTGCCAAGCAACTGACCAGTTATTAGACATAATTACTTGCAAGTGCCCAATTGTTCTCTGTCCTGAGTTTGGATGCGATCGTGACTGTAAATCCGAGGCCCACATCTCCTGTATTTGCAAGCGTGAACTGAAGATTCCTGTGATCGAACTGGCATTTGTCAAAGCACAGAGAGAGAAGACTGGCAGTATAGGGGCTCTCATGATTTCTAGCCAAGATATTCCGGAGTCCAAGAGACAGGAGGCTGCCGCAGAGAGACAGAAGAGGAGAAGAGTTGCCGAGGAAAAGAGACTTGAGAAGGCCCAGGGTGAGGTAAAAAAGGCCGATGATTGGAGCTGTTGATTCAGATGCACGACTTCCCATGGCTGATCCGAGTGCTGACCAGGAGAATGGTGACTTTGTCCTAACCCAGAAAATAATACGATCCCAAACCTTCCAGGAATAAAGATTCGAAATATGAAAGATATCCCGAGCATAGCTCTGGCCAGCATAAGTGACACCATTAATTGGTCTCAGAGAAACTGCAGAGATAGCACAGCTGCCTGGATTGACGGTGGTTTGATAACACCTGATGATGTTCACCTGGTAGATAGATCACAAATAAAGCAAGGAGCTCCAGGAGAAACTTTGTCAGTAACCTAGAAGAGGAGCTTGATAAGGGGATAAGAGAAAATGGAATCAATTGTTTGTTCTTTGATGGGAGAAGGGATGACACTAAAGTGTTCATGAAAGTTGGAGATTCTGACAAGTTGTTCCCTGCCATGGTGAAGGAGGAACACTACTCCTGCTGCAGTGTACCAGGAGGGAAGTATTTGTGGCATTTCACCCCAGAGAA